ATCACTCACAGTTGAAGAGTACCTATGATAAAAATTACAGTCTTCTACAAGCTTTGCAAGTGGGAAAACCTGAAAAATCAACAGTGTATCAAATACTTGTTCTCCCCACTGTATACAATTTTATATATACATTTTATGTACAGTAAGCGTGCACAGTGTACGTGTGAGATAAAAAGGGGAGGTTAGGCACTAGTTAGCAGGTCCAGTGTTTAGGATTGTTCTTCAGGGAGATGGCCTGGGGGAAGAAGCTGTTTTTGTGTCTGGATGTTTTGAACATGGGGCTCCATGGCATCTGCTGGAGTGGAGCAGTAAAAAGAGGCTATGTCCTGCTGACATGATTTTCTCTGCCCGTTTTCCTGGTTCTTGTGGCGTACAGGTCCTGAAGCGTGGGCAGGGGACCACCAACGACTCTCTCAGCTGTCCTGATTGCAGTCTGTTTTTGTCCTACTGGGTGGCTTTTCCGAACCAGACTGTGATGGATGTGCACAGGACAGATTCTATGACTGCTCTGTAGAACTGGATCAGCAGCTCCTGTGGCAGACCCAGCTTCCTTAGTTTCGGCAGAAAGTAGATCCTCTGTTGGGCCTTCTTGAGGATGGAGTTGATGTTGGTCTCCCACTTCAGGTCTTGGGATGTGATGGTTCCCAGAAACTTGAAGCTTTCCACAGTAGACACAGTGCTGCCAAATATTGTTAGAGGGAGTCGTTCTGGGGGGTGTTTCCTGAAGTCTACTGTCGTCTCCACTGTTCTGAGTGTATTTAGCTCCAAGTTGTGCTCCTTACACCAGAGCACCAGCTGTTCAACCTCTGTCCTGAATGCAGACTCATCCCTGTCCTTGATGAGAACAATGACTGTGGTGGTAATTTTATTATATATTAGGGGTGCAACAACACATGTACCCGTATCGAACCGTATCGAACAGTGCTGTATCGAACAATACAGATTTTAAAAATTTACTTGTTGCACCCCTAATATACGTATATGTATATATGAATATGAGATTAACTCTTGGATCCAACCCCCAAGATTCTTGTTTAAAATTTGACATTTGCATTTTTTTCAAGGAACTTGTCTTTAAATACCTCTGCCAAAGAGTTAATGTTTTCAGCGGCGTTGGTTTGTAAGTCCATCCATCTGTGAACACGATCACTCAAAATGTTCTGAATGAATTGTCATTAACATTTCAGAGCATGTTGTTGTCACAAAAAACAAATGATACAACTTTGGTATCTGCCAGACCTGCAGCTCAAGGTGAAGCAGAGAACAGACCCAGTAGTGATGCCATAGTGACAGCCAATCAGCGTCCAGCACAACTTTGTTCCTCCAGTGACAGCTCAGCAGCTGCACACTCTCATTTGCATAACCAAAGAGTGCACTGAGCCTCATAGTGTAATGTGAGGTGGAGCTCTGATCATCAGGAGCAGAGTGCAGCAGTGATACCTTTAATGACCACTGGAGGGAGCCGCTGAGTCAGAGGGACCTGGAGAAGTTCAGCACGAATAGTGATCAGATGTGTGTTCAGAAGAGGTGGAAAGGGTTACTGATGCTGTAAAGAACACAAAAGTAGGAGCAGCTGTACAAATGTAAGATTTAAATGTAAAGAAACAATCAGGATGTCAATATTTATTTATGCACTTTTTTATTGTTATTTCTCGGGTTTGAAATGAACTGAACAGGAAAACTGCTTCTTTTATCATATGCTCACTCATTTTCTAAAAATTGTTGAAAGGTGATGAGTCAAACACTAGATATGCCATAAAGTTGTTAAAACTGCCACAGCAACACATGTATTTTAAGAATATCTGGATGTGTTTTTATATCGACTCTATTCTCACTCTGGGCTCATCAGTAGAACTTCTGCTGAGAAGACCTGCTGCACACCCCACCGCCCCCCTCAGTGACTTCAGGCCAGTTTCAGTACACCTTGCACCATCGAGCCGATCCCATCAAAGACCTCGTGAATCGGAGCGTTGCACATGAATGCGCAGGTGGTGACCAGCTTGTTCTTCTGGTCCACGTGGCTCTGAGCGACACTCGTGCTCACGTGTTTGCAGCCCAGCTGGTTGATGGCCGCTGCCGTGTCAGCAGTATCTGGGTACCTGAACGAAAAAAGGAGGTCTGACTGTGAGGGCAGCTTTCTGCGGGCGCTTGAGTGAAAGTAAATCAATGTGGGGCGATGCACAGATCACTGAAACGGGGCTTATTGCTGGCTGCCTTGCAAGCTAAACCTTTGAAAAGTATAGGATCCCAGGCTGGAAGTTGTTGACTTACTTGTCGTCCTTCTCAATGCCCACTGTGACCTCACACCCGGGGAACACTTTGGCAGCCAGGACAGGTGAGATGCAGCAGAGGCCGATGGGTTTCCCTTCGCTGTGGAACGCCTGCAGGGTGGCTTTCACCTCCTCATTAACCACACAGTCCTTCCCCTGCACCGCCCATGTGCAAAGGTTCTTTGCCGCCCCAAAACCACCTGAGGAAGACCACATTAGTCTGGGTTAGGGTTGGAAATAACTTCCACTCTCAACCCCTGAACAGGAATCTGGCTGAAGACAACAAAATGTCCCCAGGAGCCAGGTTTAAAGGGGACCCATTATGCAAAATTCACTTTTTAAAACGTTTTTTTACTCAACTTTGGGTATGTACTTCTTTAAAAAAAACAGTCCTAGGACCAAAAAATGCACCCAGGGGCATATTTACTGTAAGTAAATGTATTTTTAATGTATATTAACGACAAGTTTTATACTTCCGTCATTTTGTGATGTCACAAGTCGTACGACAACCCACCGGAACCTGTGTTCAGCCCCTCACCAGGGTGAAGCTCCTCCTCCTCAATATAAAAAGCCATCACGGTTGTTGTTGTGCAATAAGCAGCTCATTTCACTACAAGCCTCCAATTCAATTCAATTCAATTCAATCCACTTCAAATTCAAAAATATTTTATTGATCCCAGAGGGGAAATTTGGTAAATAGGCCAATGGGTAGAGTGTTGGACCAGAGAGTGGGAGACCAGAGTTCGAGACCGGCACGGACACACACAATTTTAATTATTTATTTTCATTCATTATGAACACATTTTCTCATGTACCTCTATTGTTTAGCTTATTAAAGCCTTGCTAAAGCCTATGTTCGAGTTTCTGAGGTATTTTGACCGCTGCTGCTCCCTGCTCTGGTAACAGCATGCAGAGTGAGCGCAGAGCAGAGGAGGGAGAGAAAAAAAAGAAGAAGCTGGGACCACGACTCTGCCTCTGGGTCTCATATGGTTGTACAACGGAGCTTCTGCTATTATTAGCCATGCTAACGTAAATGCTGGAGGGCGGAGTTAATATCAACAGATTTTTGGAGGGCGTTACCAACAGAACTCATTAACATAAACAGTTCTTCTGAATGGAAGTCAGAGCAGGCAGAACTAGAAAATAGGAAATTTTATTATCTGAGAATTATTTTGTGCATTAAATTGAATGAACATGGTCTGGATAGCCCACAGACATGCCATAAAAATTTCTAGGACCCATAATTGGTCTCCTTTAAGGCAGTTGGTGGTGACACAAACAAACCTGGGAATATGACAGCATCGTGGTCTTTGGCACAGAGTTTAGACAGATCCTGGATGTTTCCACGGGCGAGCCTGGCGCTCTCCACCAGAACGTTTCTCTTCTCCTGAGACGGTTCACCTTTCAGGTGGTTCACCACGTGCATCTGATCTATGTTGGGAGCAAACATCTGCACCTGCAATGCAGACAGAAACTATTAGGACCCTCTTTTGTTTACAGAGATGGTTTTATCCAATTCATGTTTCCAACATGAAAACGTAATGTTATGAATATAACCACGGTTCCTTGAAGGAATGGAACGAAGTACAACACACAGTTTTATATGGGACACGTGCGCCTGGCTGAAGCCACCTCTAATCATGTCTTTAGACCGGTGACGTGGTGACGTTGAACGTCGGGTGGCAGGCTCCGCCTTCACCCTATAAGTTCGGAGTCACCAGCGTCATTACTCAGTTAGATACCGCCCTTCACCGAGCCTTTGTGATGCGGGGCCAACAAGGTGTTGTACTTCGTTCCATTTCTTCAAGGAACCGTGGTTATATTCATAACTTTACCTTCCTTTTCAGTCATTTCACTCAGTACAACACACAGTTGTATATGGGACTTGTCAAAGCGCCCCGCAGAGCAGTATCAGACCTGAGTTAAGTAGTGTGCCTGAGTAAGTACTGTACTAATGCAGAGCTTTGGACCCGGCACAAAGTACAGAATGAGCCACCGAAGGTGCTGTTACATCCAGGCTGTAAAATCGTGCAAATGTGTTTGGTGAGGCCCAGCTGGCCGCGGCACAAATGTCACTCACAGGTACCCCTTTAAAAAGGGCCCAAGATGTCGCTACACCCCTGGTGGAGTGAGCTTTAACTCCAAGAGGGATTGGAAGGTTTTTGCTGCTGTATGCTAGCAAGATGGCCTCTACAATCCAGTGAGAGAGTCTTTGTCTAGAAAGAGCTTTACCTCTGTTTGGGTTGGCAACAACCACAAATGGCTGATCACATGACCTTACATCTTGTGTGCGGCTGATGTAAGTGCGTAGAGCACGTACGGGGCACAGAAGATTCAGCTTCTTTTGCTCCTCAGATGCAAAAGGGGGGGTGAAAGCTGGAAAGCTCTATAGACATAGAGCTGTAACTAGAAGGTATCACCTTAGGAAGATACGCAGAGTTAGGGTGCAAAACCACTTTAGAGTCATTAGTYGAAAACTGGATACAGGAGGGGTTCACTGACAGAGCGTGGAGGTCCCCGACCCGTTTAGCTGTAGCTAAAGCCAGAAGCAAAGCAACTTCATATGAAAGAAACTTCAACTCTACAGACTCTAGGGGCTCAAATGGAGGGTCGCAGAGAGCCTCAAGAACCACAGTGAGGTCCCAAGAGGGAATAATGGGTTTAATAGCAGGCCGTAGCTTACAAACCCCTTTCAGAAAACGCACGGCTAAAGGATGAGCACCAGGAGTGACTCCATCAAAACCAACATGGCAGGCAGAAATGGCTGCTAAGTAGACTTTAATTGTGGAGGAGAGCCCTTTATCCAGTAACTCCTGAAGAAATTTTAAAACATCTCCTATTGCACACTGAAAAGGGTCCAGGTGCCCGTTCTTACACCATCGCTTAAAAGCTTGCCACTTATAGGAATATTTTTCGGGACATTAACAGAGGAGACTGAAGACTTGAATCCCGACGCCTCTTGGGGCCGTTTTCTGAAACACAAACATTTAAATGTCTTTTCAACTGCAGCTGAACATTGTCTCTCTGTTTTTGAAGTCCCTGTGAAGACAGTACTGCTGTTAGGAGGACTTTGACTTCTTCTTCCGAGCCGCTGAACTGTCCTGCTGACTCGGAGGGGGGCCTTTGCACCATGCCGATTGACGGGGAGGCTGCGACTTGCTGGAAGGTTCGGCGGGCTGGGCCTTTGAAGTCCCGGGCGTCGCCGCCTTCTTGAACGGAGGAGGATGAGACGCAGACCCGAATGAGCTCGGGGCCTTGGGCCTCGCCTCGTGTCTGAGGATGATGCAGCGAAGTGCCTCAGCCCTCTTCTTCCTCTGTTCAAATTTGGTTTGGATGACGTCAAGCGCTTGACCAAACAGTCCTGTAGGCGTTATCGGTTCATACAAGTAGGCCGCTCTGTCCTTATCGGGAACGTCTGAGAGCATTAGCCACAGGTGCCTCTGCGCCACCACAGTACAAGTCATTCCTTTACCCAGAGCCAGCGCTGCACAGCGGGACACAAGCAGGATGTGGTCTGACGCCATTCTGATCTAGTTCAACAGGGGTAAAAGGGGGTTTTCCTGCAGCATCTGAGCTGACAGTTCAGCCAAGGCCATGGCC